AGGAGGAGGGGAGGAGGAGGGGATGAGGAGGGGAAGAGGAGAGAAGGGAATCTTCCTTCACCATATCACAACATGCAATGAAATAAAAACAAATAACAAAAAAGTTAAAATAAAAGCTTTTCCACCGTGAAAAATAAATGATTGAAAAATGGTTAGTTACATTACTGGCTTCTTGTTTTGAAATATTTCAGGTATGATTAATCAAAACACTAAAAGCAAAATTGCAAATCAACTGCAAAGAAATCTTGGGAAAAGCTAGTATATACCCAGACAATTGCAAGGCAGGTAAGCAATGTATTTCTGCCAATTACAAGAAATACTCAAAATAAGTGAAATGTTAAAGCTGTTCCCATGTAATCAGACTGGAAAGACAGTACAAAAAACACCCTTAAATTAAAGCAGCAGTAGGTTATTCTAAAAAAAGCTTTGTGATTTGATTAATCCATGGATCCCCAGCTGGACTTGATCTGAAAATACTTTTATTCTTCAATATATTTGGCTGATTGAGCATCAAAATATCTACTAATACTTAGCAAGCAGTACTAACATTTGTATCACAATTCACCAAAATTAATAGGATATGCATCTAAATTACCAATTCCACATGCAGTATCAATCTTATGCAATTATCTTAACCCCACAGCATTAATCATGCAAAAAAAAAAAAAAGGAAATCATAATAATTTGCTACAGAACTAGGACACTGCACTCTATCTACTTGAAGGAGATTTCTAATATTAAAATCATTTTTTTTCCAAAATGGACCATCATGAGAAAGAAATTAGCAAACCAACATCAACCTTCTCCATGTCATATCTTTTAACTATGAAGCATCAAAATGTGACAAATTTACTAGACACACAAATAATACTGTTCTGGGACACAAAACAACACTCTTTTATTCCCATGATTTCCTTTACGCAAAGTGAGCACTTTTCATGACTCATCACTAACCACAGAACTCCTCATCCGAGCCATCAGGACAATCCTTGTTGGAATCACAGCGTTTATCCTTGTGAACGCAGCCTGACATGTCTCCACAAATGAACTCATACCATTCACACGATGGAGGAACTTCAATGCGTGTCAAGACAAGAGGATCACAAATTATTAAGTATATATATAAATAAAAAACAAAAAAAAAATATTGAATTGTTATATAACTAGCGGCATATTTCAGGCACAGAGATTAAAAAAAATTATCATTGATAGCATAAGCAATTTGATGCATAGTTCCACTATACCAAGCCTTGAGTTACTAAACAACACTTGAAAGCTGTACTGCAACATCAGTTTCCCTTTGTTTCTTCATAAGTTTATCATTTAGAGCAAACAGTTCTTAACTTGCTGACAACAGAACTTTTCTATAAAATAAGCAGCAATCAAACACAAGCAGTGCAAATCAACATTAGCAAAATATCAGTATGGATAACATACCTGTTACACAAAGCCTTTTCTTATTTTCAGAGCATATTTTATTTCATAAAATAGCTGCCTTATCTGTACTGAAAAGCATCTTTCTTATTTCTGTAATAACCTTTCATTTCTCTTCTATTTGTTTAACCTTTTTCCTCTGCTCAGAGTTATTCTCTAAATTTTAACAGAATTAATTATTGCACTTATCCAATCTGAAAAGAAAACCTGGACAGACAAAAAAAAAGGGGGGATTAAAAATGAACTGTCACTGTCTTCCTCTCTTCACACTAACCTGGCCGGCAAGAATCACCAGGCACATTGGGGTTGCCCTCATAGCCATTGGCACAGACCTCGCAACGCCTTCCTTGGTAGCCCTGCAGGCAATTACAAGTCACTTGGCCATCACTGTCCAAGAAGCAGGTGGAGCTAAACCTGTGGAGAAGAGAGGAGCAAATGAAGAAGGAATTGGTAAAGTGAAAAAAAAAAATAGTCTTGCATTAGTAATCACTAGCAAGAGGGAATAATGTAATCAATCTTCAGAATTAATCACTGTAACCCAAAAAAGTTTCAATTTCTTTTTCAATGAGTGATGACTATCCCTCCAGAAGAACTAATAACCAACAAAAATATTCCTCTCTACATTTCATAATATATTAATACTATGGAACATAAAATTACCTAAACTTCTGTCAAAGTGAATCTTTGAGCAGGAAGATTATCTAGCAATGAAATTTTTTCTGCCTTTAGCAATGGATCCCCAAAAACCCAAAATTCCTATATCTGTCACATAAAAAACAATAAATCTAAGATAATTAATGTGGAATACTTAATAATCATATCTACACAGACTTTAGAAAACTAGTCATGTTCCTAACCTCTTCCTTTAGCTTCAGATATAAAATAACCACCCTCTCTTTTGTATTTTGTTTTATTCTTAATCTCTAAAAAAATCTATTGATGAATTCTGTCCAAGAAAAAAAATCTGGCAAATCTTAAATAAAGTAAAACTCACTGGTTGGTAGGTGTTGAGAGAGGACAAGGGCATGGCAAGCAGGGAATACCATTGGCTGGGTCTCCATACTCTCCAGGGCGGCATTCAACATCGGGAACACAACGTCCAAGCCAAGGTCCGTCAGGAACACGCTTGTAGTTGGGAGCACAGTCCTGGGAACATTGACAAAATATTATTTTCTATATGCACATTATACAAAATATAATGCCCAGTTTGATAAAACCTTATTCTATAATAATAAGTGCCAGAATTTGACTACCATCCTATAGCAAATAGCATAAAGCAAATATTTATAAACATTATCATCATCAAAAAACAGTCATGGGTCTAATAAGTCTTCATTGATGATACACTTACTGAATCTTAATAAAAGACTAACCTGGCATGACAATCCAACATAGCCTGTGGGGCAGCGACATTCTTCTACCAACACAGCTCTTCCCTGGGTATTATCATGAATGACAGCAGTGTCCATTTGAACTTCTGACAGTGTAGACACTACATAGTAAGCATCAGTGTACAGTGCTCTGGAAAGGTATCATCATCACAGTTAAACACATAAACTTTCATCATATACAAAGCATAAATATAGGCAACTAGTAATAATAAAATTATCATAATCATCTGAAAGAGTTGTTTAATAAAAATTGGAGACCACTGTTCTATCCTTTACAAGTTAATATCTTTATAAAGATCATTTTTCCAAATATAAATGCCAAACTGATAGAATAATAAAATTCATACTGATGGCAACATTTACAAATTTTACAGTATATAAGCAATGGACTAGTTAAATAAGAAGGCATACAGAAAAGGAAAGGAGGGGAAAATAACAACATCAACATGAAAAGGAGATTGAGATAAAATATATATAAATATATAAATATATAAATATATAAATATATAAATATATAAATATATATATATATATATATATATATATATATATATATATATATATATATATAGATACATATATATATATATATATATACATTACATATACATATACATATGCATATACGTGCATAATTACATATATATATATATATATATATATATATATATATATATATATATATATATATATATATATATATATATATATATATATATATATATATATATATATATATATATATATATATATATATATATATATATATATATATATATATATATATATATATATATATATATATATATATATATATATATATATATATATATATATATATATATATATATATATATATATACATATACATATATATATATACACATATACATATACATATACATACACATACACATACACATACACATATACATATACATAGATATACATATACATACATATATATATATTATACATATATATATATATTACATATACATATACATATACATACACATATACGTGTATATGTATATATATATATATATATATATATATATATATATATATATATATATATATATATATATATATATGCATATATATATATGCATATATATATATGCATATATATATATGCATATATATATATGTATATATATATATACATATATATATATATATATATATATATATATATATATATATATATACATATATATATATATATATATATATATATATATATATATATATATATACATATATATATGAACAGACAAAGAGATGGCAGTAAAAAAAATAATGAAAAAGCTCATTGACACATACCGAATCAGTAGCAATTCAACATTCTCAAGCACCATCATGATTTCTTCTCTGTTTGCAGGCTCTTGACTCTGAACAACTTGTCCGCGGCCCACTACCCGCTTGAACCACTGACCAATCTCAAACCTTACATCTACTTGGTTTTCGAAATCAGGCTTGAATTCTCCATCATGGACATGCATAAGTGTGATGTCATTACCCTAAAAGACAAATAAATAACAAATAAAATCAAGAAAAACAGTAATATTAATGATAAGAGTAATTACTTAGATTTCGATTTTGCAACCTCTATATTCATGTGTTATTCAATCTCTTTTCCTTATTACATTAATTTTCTTTTATTTTTTTCTTTTATTTTACTTTAAAACAGCCTGACACTTCTTATTTTTGCTTTTTTTTCACACACTGAAGTGCTTGAACAAATTAATTCTTTTACAAGGGCTGTCCTGGGTGTTAGAGCCCATGTCAGATTACTTCATGATGTAACTGGGTCATAAGCACCATAGCAAGGCAAGGGTTTCAGCTTTCTGCATTTTTACTAATATCTATACTCATTTTATAGCTTAAAATAGAAAATAAACTGAACAACAAATATATAATTTTGGCAAACTTTTACAGGTAAAAAATGTTAAAAACATTATTTTAGGGGGACATAATAATGAAAGGTGGCTGTCAAGCACAGATACCAGAACAGTCTTGTGAAAAATGAAAATAAACCTTTTTAGAGCAAACATAATATCAACAACACTATGGACGTGAGTTTTAGATACTAGACTCTTAAACTTAAAAGAGAATTAGTGTTGTCCAAATAAAATGCTACCAAAAGTAGAGTCTGCAGAAAAAGTATCTTTGCGGAGGAAAAAATCAAATTGAAAAGAGGAAAAAAATGGTGGTACAAAGTTCTCATCAATAATATAACATGGAAAATTAAAGTTGTGGAGGCATTATCGCTTCAGCCTATGCTGTAATAAAAGGCAAGTCTCCAGGCACCAGTGAATGTTCGCCATAAGACTGAAGGCAGAGAGAAATGGAAACAACTGGTGAAATTATCTGCATTGCTCCTACAGCCTTCACACACTATGGCCTAAAAGAAGAAGAAGAAGCTTCTTCCCCCTCCCCCCTCCCCCACTTCCCCCTCCCCCCTCCCCACTTCCCCCCCCCCCTCCTCTTAAAGAAAAAAAGAAAAAAAAAAAAAAAGGAATCAGATCATCAGATGGCTCTTTTCTTCCTGTTCAACCTACCACCATGATCACATCTGGTCCCTTGATAGTCTGTGAGGCAACAGTGCTGGAATACTTGATCTTGTATCTAAGGTATCCACCATATGATGTCAGTTGCTGGCCCTTGTGACTATCAGGAAGGGAGAAATACACAATGAGGTCACTGGGGCCCTCCAGCTTGGATCGGTCAACATTGAGCTGAAAAAAGGAAAAATAATGAGCTTCACATTCTTAATGCAATTATTTAGTAAAGCAAATAGGAACTGAATCTTGAATACAATGACAGCAATAAGCAAATAAAATGAGAATTTAACCAATACCAAGCCTAAAATAACAACTAATTTATCTTATACCATGAAATATTTTTATCAATAAAGAAAAAAGTTACCTGGACTGCATTAGATGACTGAGGACTGAGGAAACGTGATGACTGTTGATACTGTTTCGTACGCACAATGTAATTGCCCTTGAACTGGTCTTGATTAACTCCTATCAGCTGATATGAATCATTTGCAGGAGGAGGTAACTGCAAAAGAAAATCACATTTACAAACCTCATATAACTTCTTACATGATACTACTTTGCCATACTTATTCTAACAATACATTCCAACATTATAAACAAATTATGAATTCTCCAAAATTTTCTTAATGTACGTAAGTGATATAAAATATTTTACCTGTGTAATATATCTGTCTGTGGAGTAGCACTGTTCTGTGGCCCCAAAGCAGAAGCATGTGAGGCATTCCTCTGTAGTAACAGCACCTGCATTGAAGAGAGGAGGCTGACACTGAGGTGAGCTGCCCTTCACTTGGACAATACAGTCAGGCTGAGCAAAGACTGAACCTAGGCTGTTAATGGCCTCGCAGGAATAAGCACCCTGGTCGGTTGGCTGAGCGCCCGGGCATGTTAGAGTACCCCGTCCATCCACACTGCAAAAAAATATAGATACATATAAGATAATGCAACAAAATAAAACTTAAATATAAATATAATATACTTACGTTACTTTGCATTGAACAAATTAAACACTATTTTAATACTTACGTTACTTTGAATTGAACAAATTAAACACCATTGTAATACTTGTTCTAATGTATACATATTCATTAAAAAATTTATCATAAATAAAATAATGCTCATAAAATCTGAATTACATTCATAAATAAGTCTATATCTATCTATATATCTATTTCGATCAAATGCAAAAAATGAAATAACAACCTTGTCATTTGACACTTATCAGGCACATGTCCCCAGTTGAGTCTCCAAATGACAGTTGGAGTAGGCACGCCAATGACTCTGCAGGTGATGGTGAATGTTTCGCTGACTTGGACCATAATATTGCGAGGGGGAGGCTCCACAACAATTGGCTTGCTGCACCTCTGTTCATCTGATCCATCTAGACAGTCAACTTCCCCATCACAGTGGAAAGACTTTGGAATACACTGACTGCCATTGACACAAGTAAACTCGTTGTATCTACATGCTGATCCTGTTGTGGAAAAATCAAGTAAGATATATTTATCCTTCTTTTTATTACTCTGTGGAACACAAATGATTAAGAAAGTTCTTAAACAAGTAAAAGCCTATTCTAACTAAGAACTCTTTCTCTCTATCTTATATCATTTACATATAATCTACTTCACTGTTATAAGGCATGCCACTTCTAACTTAAAGGATGATACATATAACATCAGAACCTTACCTGGTGCATTAGTCACACACTCTCTCTCATCAGATCCATCTCCACAGTCATCATCTGAGTCACACAACCATGTCTTCAGAACACATCGTTTGTTGTCACATTGGTATTCATTGGGTTCACATCCCAGTGGATCTGTGGGAGAAAAAAAATCTTAACTTGTAGATCAAGTCAATTTTTCAGTCACTTGTTCCATTACTATTCATCTTCACCTCATATATTTACTAGCAGTAATAAGTAGTCCCTTAGTAGGTGATAGTTCATCTTCTCTAAAGTTCTTTCATAAATATATTGAATACTTCACAAAGCACCATTAATGTTATCATTCTATAAATGAGATGAAGATAATCAGAGTATATAACTTAATGAAGCTTAATTAAATAGAAGAAAATGATAGTAATCACTAAATTAATTCCTGCAAAGA